ATGAATAGAGCAGCAATGACCATGGTTGAGCAAGGGTCGCTGCGATAGGATGAAGCATCCTTTGGGTAGATGCTCAACAGGGGTGTAGCTGGGTCTTGAAATAAACCAATTCTCATCTTTCTGAGGAATCGCCATATTGATTTCCATGGTGGTCGTTCAAGTGTGCACTCCCGCCAGCAATGGAGAAGTGTCTCCCCCACACTCCACATCCTCTCCAGCATGAGCTGTCTCTTGTGTTATTGATCCTAACCATTCTGACAGGTGTGAGATGGAATCCCAGAGTCACTTAATTTGCATTTCCTTGATGGTTAGAATGTTGGACATTTCTTTAAGTGTTTCTCTGCCATTTGGGATTTCTCTATTGAGAATTCTCTATTTCTATCTGTATTCCATTTTTTAAGTGGATTATTTGAGGTTTTAATATCTAGTGTCTTGAGTTCTTTGTAGATTTTGTACATTAGCCCTCTATAAGATATGGAGTTGGTAATAGCAAAAGATGTGCCCTGTCTCAACACTATAGTCGTCGTTACAATCTCAGTTGTTTAGGTCATTCAGGAACAGAGCGATTTCAAACATAAAGGTTTTCAAATCACTATGGGGGGCATTAAGTCTTTGAAATTGCAGAAATTTCTGTTGACTAGAAATGGAAACCTTCATATTTACAGTGCATTGCACACACACTCACTAAACACCTTAGAAACCTAGAGGTGTCTTGTTTGTTTGTGTGTTTGTTCCTGAGACAGGGTCTCGTGTAGCCTAGGGTAGTCTTGAACTCACCGTGTAGCTAAGGATGGCCTTGAACTCCTGATTCTCCTGTCTTTGCCTGCTGAGTGCTAGGATTATACTTTATCTGGCTTCTAGATATCCCAGTAATCTCATGGTTTGTAAGGGGAGTGTTATTAGAAGTTCTTTGTGGGATTTGATGGACAGCTCTTCCTGCCACACGGAAACATAATCTTCAGTCAGGTGTAATGGTGCATGCCTTTAATCTCAGCACTCAGAGACATCAGCAGAAGGATCTCTGAGTTCGAAAGCAGCCTGCTCTACAAAGTGAGGTCCAGGTCAGCCAGGGCTACCCAGAGAAACAAACTGTGTGGCATCAGGAGTTTACCTAATACTGAATCTCAGAATTTTACACTTGTGGTAATAGGATGATGTTACAACCCTGGTGTTTTCATGAATAGCAGAATCGGTTTACTGCTAAGTCTTATAACAAGCCTGCCTGCTGCATCTGGGGGCATGATCAGTCACAAGTGGCTTTGCATAGGTGGCAGGCCTGCAGTAGTGTCCCCTGTGTGGTTCCTACCATCTGTCCCAGCACAGTGGTTCCTACTAGGCAATGTGCTCTTGAAGAGAGTATTGTCAGAAACCAGCACACACACACACACAAAGCCAATATAGACATACATACACACATGCACATACACATGAGCACACACGTACTTATATATATACACACGCACACACCCATGCTTCCTCTCCATCATGAGAAGGACAGCTTGCTTGACAGTGGACTTCCAGCTATAATATCCTGCCTTGACACAAGCCCAAAACATGGACTGAAATCTGTGTAGCAAAATGCGCCTCTTATTTAACCTGGGTATTTGCTCTAGAAAGAGAAAGTTGAGCACCACAGTGACCAATGAAAGCTAAGGAGAGGAAGTGGCTAGAAAGAGTTGAGATGGAGGGTGACATCTGAACAGAAACCTGTAACAATCCAAGGACTGATCACATGCCCTATTACGGAGAGCTCCCCCAGGCAATTGGACAACCCTGTGGCAGGATGGATTTTCCCAGGTGTGAGGGACGAGGGATGAGTGAGCCTGGGGTGGAGTGATGGAGATCAGAAAGATAATGTGCCCCAGGTGGTGGCGTCTACATCTTTCAAGCAGTGGCCCCCAAATGGAGAAAGCCCATGCTTGTCACTCAGTCTGAGGACTAATCCCTCACTCAAACTGGGGGATGGTCACTCCTTGTTTCTGGGAGCAATTAAGGAGCGCAAAGGGTCAGAGAAGAGACCCAGAGGCGATTTCTCTTAGGCCTTTTTAAGATGAGGAAATAAGAGCTTGTGAAATAGGAATGAATGATAAAAGCGGAACTTTTCAAAATAGTCTTTGGTCTGATGAATTTGAATGGAAAAGATCTAATCTAGCCTTCAGAATGAAAGGTCGTATGGAATTCCCCTCTTGGGAAAACTGGAATTTTGCTCACCCAGCCACTGGGCAGGGACTAAGTGGGTACCTCAGTTAACCAACCAGAAGTGGCTAAAGAAGAGGAAGGTTCTTGCCAAAGAGGAATCTTGGCCATCTGCTTGCAGGACGCTTTCCCAAGTCAGGCAGCTGGGTAGAGCCACAGCCACCGCTTGTACCTAAACTTTCTTTCGCTTGACCGGCCACTTAATTTTATTCCCACAAAGTATAGTTTTGAGATAAAATTGTTAACTTTCAAACTTTCCTTCAAGAAGAGGGACATTCGCAGATCTGGTGTTTCCAGTTCTAGCCTGATGTCCTGCTGGTACCAACAATGCTTTGCACTGATTTTTAAATTTTATCCACTAAAAATTGAAGTTGATACAGAAAAGTTGGTCCTTGTTGTATGTTTTATGCGTGTTGCCATGTAGGATCAAACCTTTTGCATGCTAGACAAAGCTCTTCCACTGAATTATAGCCCTGGTCCACTTGGTTTTGTTTCTTTTTGTGTTAGTGGGCTTCACATTGCTACAATGAAATATCTGAGTGATGAAATCTTTTTCTTTTTTAAACCAAATATCTTTACTTGCAAGTGTTCATTGCAAAGTCACCAGTCTGGTTTGGGACCTCTGGGTTCTGCTACACTGTTGACGCCCTCCCTGGAACCCCTCCTGCTGTTGCCTGTGTCGTGGAGATCCTGCAGCTTTGGGTCCGCAGAAGGGCCCCATCGCCTGCCCCAGCAGATCGCTGATGGGGTGGATCTGAGTCAACTCAGTCTTTTCAAAGGTTGGTTGAGCTCGCAGATCCCAAAGTTCACAGCACCGCTAAAGTGACCCTGTGCTTCTGACTCTGACGAAGCTCACTCATCATGACTGGAACATGGGAGAAGCAGTCAGACCGTGAGTGCAGCAGAGACAAGGGGCATTCAGCAATCACGTCAGAGGGCATGGCTGCCTGTGATATGAAGACCTGCTTCAGACCCCACTTCCAACAGACGCAGGCATTCCCTAGGTGTGCCACCCTGTGGGCCAAGCTTTCAGTCATGGCTGTTTTGAGGTATAGTCAGCCAACATGTAAACCATAGCATTTCATGTTCGTTCATTAAAATATAAAATGGTCCTCAAAGACAAAACTGTTCAAGGTCATTTGCTTTCAGTTCTGATTTATTCACAGCATTTAGTTCAAGAGAGCCCTTTATGGAATAAATAGGGCAGGAATAATAAAGGCAGGTAACACTCCTTATATTCAGTCAGACACTTATTCAAAGAACAGACAACCGCAAAGACTTTTATGAAAATTTTAATCAGTTAATTCAAAGAATTGGATTTGTAACCGTATTTTATGTAGAAATGTTCAACTTACCCCAAAATTTCACAGGCATGGAACAAAAGTTAATTCTAAATGCATTAAGGGCATTTTTAAGAACTGTACGGTCATGCACTCAGGTGGCTGGGTTGTTAGTGGTGCGAAGAAGTCGGGGGTCCTGCACACGCTCCTCAGATGCTCCCTCGTCTAATGAAACAAACTGCATCCCCTGGGCTTGTCATAAATGAAGCGAAATTAGGAGACCTTAACTGCCATGCATCTCATATCATCCTAGTGTGTCTTCAGACCTTCCCAGCATGTGACCAAATTAGACACCACATGGAGAAGCTGAGATGACCTAAGATTGGACTAAACGCCCCCTATTTGTGAAACTGTCTTAGCATTTTCAGACTTCTCTGAAACTATGTGGTTTCATGACAATGTTCCACAAGCTAGTGGTATTTTTCAGATAGAAACGTCCAGTTATTGACATCTACAGAGCATCAGTATTAGCGTGTCTGCAGTGTCTCGGGCGACACACACTATCAGTCTCCCCCGCCAACTGTTTTCTTTGGTGGGGAAAGGAGAGCCGCCCAAAGCTAGTCAATTGCTTTTGCCTCAAATGATTTGAATTAATAAAGTCCTATTGTGTCAAAGCTCTGATCCTTCCCGCTCACATGTCTGTGAGGTAGACGGCCCAATGCCTAGACCATCATTAAATGGAATTCAGGGCAAATTCAAAGACATATATGTCAGCAGCAAAAGATAGTGACAGATAACTTGTATGGTTTTTTTTCCTTCCTTTAAGGTTTTTGTGATTCAATATAACCAAGAAAAGATTATTTGCTTTATATTATAATATGCCGACATCTCAGCCATATTTAGATTTGTCTCAAATTTTAAAAGGGTTTTAAACAAATACTGTCGCATCTGCCTTATCAGCAATGAAGACACAACACCGGACTCTTCTTAACTGTGGTTTATTCAAGACCTTAGAATAATCTTCTCACCCTCTCGCTACCTCTCGCCCAGGGGAAAAGCCAGTCTGCAGCTTAAATAACCTCTGGGTAGCCAACCCCAGCAAGCCACATGGGAGACGCAGCTAGGTCCAGAAACGCGGAAGCAAGCCAGATCTTTAGCGTTAGCCATATATGGAGTTGTTACACATCTGAGAGCATTCACCGTTGGAAAGGTAGAAGGTGAGAATCAGTGCCACCTGTAAGGCGTGGCATCACACAGCTCTCTACAAAATACTGTTTGGGTCATGCCAACATCATTTTACTTTAAGAATTCTATCTGGCACCCTGTGTGTCTGTAAAAGTAAAACCCTGATAGTCCCAAATGTCACAAGGATATGCTTTGTATTACAGGAAGCTGATAAAAATCATCCGGAATATCATTTCTCATGAAGAACACATTGCATAATCTCTGGACAATCAAATCAAAGAAAAAGTTATTCAAATAAACTTATTCTCACTGCCAAACCTGAAGCATTCCACATACACAGGCATTCAGAATCATTTAATAAATAACTGTTCTTCAAATCATAGTTATATAAGACTACATATATGATTATATGACCCTGCTCATTGGAATACTACAAGAAAGAGTCACAAAACTTGATTTTTGTTTACAAACACGGTGATCAAAAATAGATCTATATACATAAGAAATACACAAATACATAGTTGATTTAAATGGTATATAAATCTCTCTCCTTCAGATAAATGCTAATATTTTTTAATATTTTAGTTTTTAATGTCAGTTAAAATGTACAAAGCATGACTGTCTAAATATGACTAACCAAAAATTATGTATAAAATTATAAATTATTTTTAAAATGTCAATATTTTTATTTTAAAAATGTGAAAACTTCTTAACTCTTTTAAACAATATCTAATGTGGGTATTGTAGAAAAATAAGTTATTGATGAAATTCTTTAATGCAAGTGGTAGCTATGAACATAGCCAAATAAGTGGCTAAGAATGTTGGGACTATTGTTTGAAATCTTAGAAGACAGAACAAAGCACGTATTTGATAAGTCTTGGACAGATGAAAAGAAAAGTAGGATTTACCTATGAAATTTAGCTCTTTAAATATATGAATTAGCTCAACTTAACAGCACAAAAAGCAATTATCTGACCCCATGGGACTTTATTGTTTTTAAATATGCGATATTCTTGAATCACCAAATTTACATGATGTATATGTTAGTCAGTACCAGATGAAAGGGCATATATAATTTATAAGCTGGCACATGGTGAATGAGGGACAGAGGTGACATGATTCATACTGGTTGTCTCAAGACATACATAAGCCTAGGAAGCTGGAACAGTAAAGCCTGGACAATGTGCCCAACAAAAGCAAGACCTATGGGACAGAAATCAAGAAGGAAGTATATGGTAGACAGTGGATAGCCTAAAACGGGCAATATAATTGGCCAATAACCAGGGATCTCAGTGGGAAAAATAGGCACAAGAGTGTATTAAAGATGATCGTGATTCTTGGGTCCCTATTGTCTCCTAGGCAGGATCTTTCTGTCTACCCCATTCCAGATGCAGACTTGGTAGCAAGGTTCCACCATGGGTTGATCCAGAGGTAAAGATGACAGGCAGGCTCTATTGGTCATTTCACGGCTGCCTAGAAACCGAATGTGTAGGGGGAGGCAAGAATTCTCTGTCCAGATTCTAGTTGATATCCCAGGATTTATATACAAGCACCAAATAAGTCCCAAATGTAAGAATATGCCTTTGGTCACCAAGTATCACATGTGTGTGCCTATATTTGCCTTTCAGACATGTATGTAGTCATAACATTCAAAACTGTCTCATTTTGAATATGTGGATATCGAATATGTGGAATATGTGGATATTGAAACAACTCTAGTGTAGCATCGATAAATCAGTGTGGAAAATAAACCAAGTTGGGACTTAGCTTTTACAAAAATAAGTCTTCCAAAACAGCTGTGATGGGCAAAAAAATGATCTGATCCAATTATCCTAAAACACGTTAAAAAAAAAAAAAGACAGACATGATAACATAGCCTCTAGCCTTGAAATGCTTCACAAGCGAGTCCCACTGATCTTGCCACTGTGGTCCGTGGGGTTCAGTTCAATGTGGTTGAAGGCGGGGTTATCAATTCCACCATCTTCCATATATGGATGTGACTTATCGCTCAAAACATGATTCTCCTGAAAAGAAAGTTACATGGAAAAGTTCTTCAGGAGGAAACTTCAATTTGTTCAATGACAGATAATTGTTACTAGGGTTTTCATTTCTCCTATCTCCTGACAGAGTGATAGCCAACCAACATAAACCAGCAGAAGATGGATGGTGTATATTAGACACCTTGGCTATGGGTACCCATACATTCTCTCAATAGTTCCTATCTATTAACTATACACCTGTAGATAGAGGCGCAGAAACATCCCGCTGTGTGCCTGTTCAGGAAAGAGGCTGGGGACTAACTGGTATTCTATTCCAGTGCTTAAAACCCCACTTTCCTAATTGAAGATAACCAAAACCTAACTTACTTTCTTAAAAGCATCAAAATTGGATAAAAAGTCCTGTTTGGTTAGTAAGAATTGGGGGTCCAAATTCTGTCTTCTTCCTCCTGAAAAACAAGCACATTATTTACACTGTTACGCAGACACGTATGGCAATGGGACCCCCCAATCATGCAGGCTTTTGGCTTAAGAACACTCTGCTTTATATGCACATCAAATGCAAAGAAGACCTTGAAAGTGGTCCTGAAGGTCCTGAAGGTTCTGAAGGTCCAGCCACCATTCCCTGTCCCTAGCTCTCAGCTCCTACCAGAGTCTAGCTGATGAATATGAATCTTACAACATCCACATAGATAAATAGATGCAGAGAGATGAAGGCTCCCAATTCAAACTCAACTGTGTCATTTGGTGCCACTCGGATGAAGAGCTGACTATCCTGGTAACAGTAGGAAGAGCTACCCACACAACCCGCCCATAAAGTGGTAAACTGTCTGCTTCCACCTCTGCCCCCTGCCCCTTTGCCTCTGCATCTGCCCCTCTATCCCTTTGCCAGTCTTTGCGCCCCTGCTCCCTCTCCCCGCCCCCCTCCCTCCTGCCCCTGTCTCTATCTCTGCCCCTCTCCCCCTCCAACTCTGCCCCCCTGCTCCTCTGCCCCTTTGCCCCTCTGTCTCTGCCTCTCTGCCCTTCTCTCTACTCCTCTCCTCTGCCATTCCGACCCTCTGCCCCTTTGCCCTTCTGTCTCTGTCCCTTACCCCTCTGCCCCATGCCCCTCTGCCTCTGCCAGTACACCTACTTTTCCTGACTTTTGTAATTATGAATAGCTATGTGAGTGGAGAAACTGTGAACTGCTGACTGAGTTAAGCAAATACTGCATGCTCACTGCTGTTTTGTACGAATCGTCTTCTCTAAGGTTTTGTTTTAGAAACCAATCTTTTGATTTGGTCTTGCTTGTTTTCTGTCTGTCTATCTGACTTTCATTCTTTTCTTTCTTTTTATTTTGTCTTGGTGAACCAACTAAGATGCTCTTGAGAATCATGCATGTGGTCCTCAAACCACCACTATCTACTATATCTTTGAGGGATGTACTTAAAACTGAGACCCCTGCCCTTCAGCTTGGACAGACCGAAGTGGAACGGCAGGACCACTGAACTCTTGATTTTGCCTGATTTCTAAGGTGATTTTTTTTAAATTTTTATTGAGCTATACATTTTTCTCCACTCCCCCTTCCTCCCCTCTCCCCTTCTACCCTCATCCCTGACCCCCATGCTTCCAGTTTACTCAGAAGATCTTATCTTTTTCATCTTCTTGTGTAGGTCCATGGATGCCTCTCTTCAAGGTGATTTTTAAGTCTGCTAAAGTTTGAGGATTACTATAGTACCCACCCCTGTTTTATTGACCAAAACAAACAAATAAATTCAGTGCAAAGAGTCAAATGGAGCTGACTGCCAGTGAAGGGTGTCCATCTGGATTCTTAGAGAGCTCTAGTATTCTACAGTTTGTTTTAAAGACCATCAGAAGTGTATGTTTCAAAATCTTTTTCAAGGTTCACACCGTAGCAGAGGGGGAAGAATGGCTCACTAATGAAATCAATTAAGTGAACGTGATTTTGCTTGCTTGTTTTTCAACTAGAGGTCCGCCCTCCTGAACACCACTGCATGCAGTTAACGAAATTAAAGCAGCTAATGAAAAGAAAAGGGAATGCCAGCAGGAGCACGCTGATGCCCGGTTTCTTTAAAAGGGAGAGAAAGCAGGAGGGGGTAATGAGAGTCAAGGATAAGAATACAAGGAAACAGTACAGATGTGGTTCGGATGTGAACAACTGGCTAATTTGTGAGAATTAATTGTACCTCTCCAAACAGATTAAGTAATACGGTGCTACTAAGTTAGTACTTTCTAAGAGAAAAGCACGATCCTTCTGGAAAGGGAGGGCAAACATTATCGTTGCCAACCCAGAGGTGATAAGATTGAAAGCAGGGCTACCTGGATGCCAAAAGTCAACAATGCCAGTCAGATACACCAAAGGCTGCCAGCTTGCGGTAGTGCAAACCAAGCGGCAACACCACGTGTTTGGACAACCTGTGGGATAGCTGGGTAACCATAAGGTGGGCAGTGTTGCCTTCCCCTGAGCTGGCTGCTATGGATATACATGTGGGAGGGAGTAGGGGTTTGGAGCCCGCACTTCCACCAACCCTCAATCCCCGTTCACGATAATCTGAATCGATATGCACCTCTCGCGTGGACATCTACCTGCCCTCCTCCCCTACAGTCCATTCTCAAACCACACCAAACGCTTCTTTGGGAATTGTCGGAAAAGTAATTGGGAAAAAGATATTCATAGATTAGACCTAAAAGACAGAGAAGGGAAGTAGGAAAGAAAAGACAAGAAAATGAAAGAAAAGCTTCCTTAGATGTAAACATTTGACAAACAGGAGTTTCCAGAAGGATGAAACAGAAAATAGCAAGAAATTACAAAAGGTTAGCTTAAGGAAATGCCCAGGATGGCAAGATATGAGACTTCAGAGTTAAAGGGTCATAGGGCAAGAGGTCGTTGAAAAACGTGCCGCCATTGGAAAGATTAGCAGGTCGCCTGTCATTGGCACTCAGAAGAGAGGAGAGATTAAGATGTTTGAGAATAGGACTCATATTCAAATTAGCAGTCAAGCATAGTCATTTCTTAGACATGTGAATTTTTCAAAACCTTGTTTCCTCTCTGTCCTACTCAAGAATGTGCTGTATACGATGGATCCACTCAGCTAAAGGAATAAACATGGGGGTGGGAGAGATGCTATTGCAGAGGTCCCGGATGTGGTGTCCGGCACCCACATGGTGGCTCAGAATCACAAGTAAGGAAAGATAAGGCACCTTCTTCTGGCCCCTGTGGGCACCAAGCAAACATGTCATGCAATTAATTACATGTACACAGGTAAAACATTCATACAAATAAAAATATTAACTGATTTAAAAATAAACTAACCCATTCCCTGTGGTGGGACGCCATGTTCCGCCTTGATATAGGCAGAAGGGGTTTGGTCCTGCCTCAACCTAATGGGCCAGACTTTATTGACTCCCCATGGGAGCCCTTACCCTTTGGGAGGAGTAGATGGGTGGATTGGAGGGGGAAGGAAGGCGAGGGGGGCCAGAGGGTAGGTGGGAGGGAGAGCTGTGGTTGGAATGTAAAATGAAACTTAAATAAAAAAATTATTAGAAAGGTCAAAATCAACTAGAGGCACAAACATAAGTGGGAAGTTGTGGGGGGACAGGACAACACAGGAAGGGGGGCAGGAACACACCCACAGTGAGAACAAAATAAAATCTCAGGATAAAACCTCCATTCCAGGTAGCAAGCTTACGCTCTGTGCATTAGCAACTGATGATTAGAACTTGACTCTTCACGAACATTTTCAAAGGCTTTCTACTATGGTCCCACATGAACATTATAGTTATGGCTCATTACGTGTGTGTGCATCTTTGGTGTTTACAATGAATGAATCTGTAGTAGACAATGGAGACAGCCTGGTAGAAAGATGTCATCAAGATGGGCACACGGCTCTCCCTTTGTAACGAGCAGCTATGTGGTTCAGTGTTCTCGTGCACATTAGTGTGATCTTACAGCGACCTGTCTTCTTCTTCCTCATTTTCCGCATAACAAGGCTAAGGTTCAGAGCAGACTACTTAGTGTATCCTGACTGAATCCAGGTAGCTATTAAATGGCAGAATCAATATTATGATAGCACTGGGTTAAGTTCTTCTGCCTTAAGTTCAGGCTCTCAAATACTCCATGAGTAAAATTTTAAAAGTTAATTTAAATCATTAAGAGAATCACAGTAAAGTGCTAAAGAGCTGTAAATCAAACATGGGAAACTTGTATTTATAAAAGTGAATAGAAAAAAATATTATGATAATTACCTGTTGGTAAACTGATAAGCATCCCCACTAACAATGTTACCAATGTTCCAATAGTACTGAAGTACAAATATGATAGTGAATACCAATTATCCATCAGCGGAGTCCTGAAAGATACCAAAAATATAACTAAATAAATATAACAGCAACAAGTGTGTTTATCAATTATCCTGAAAGTAAGGATGTGATTTTTAGCCACTTTTAATGCCATAATTAACTGGTCTGATCTGTATTAAATTAGGAGTTTAAAATATGGCTTCACTTTGACTATGTGCATGAAAAAGGACTTTAAATATTGCAAGAATAAGGTACCATCATTCCTTGGCTTGGGAGAATCATAAAGCATGAGGCCACAGTCACCTAAGTCACTGCAGCCTGGCATAGGCAGGTTTCTGTGGGACCCTGGCAACACAAAGACAGTGCATAGCCCCATCAAAATCCTTTTTTATTTTTTCTTGTAATCTTTACTTGAAATGTATAAATAACCAACGAGTAATCAAATCAACATCCTGCGCTATTCCTGACAGGTGACTAAAACAACTTTTAATTTGAAAATTAGAGAAATAGCCAGACATGATGATGTATATCTTTAATTTCAGCACTCTGGAGTCAGGTGGATCTTGGAGTTCAAGGCCAGCCTGGTCTACTGAGTGAGTTCCAGGACAGCCAGGTCTACACAAAGAGACCATCTTAAAAAAAATTAGGACATTTTTTTGACATCAAAGTAGGCAATGATTTCCTCAACAAGACCACAAAAGACTAACGATATAGACAAAGATAAGCCATGATTTCTTACAAAAAAAAAAAGCTTGGCAAACAGTAAAAATGAAATTTATTGATTGAGAAAAAAAATATTTTCAAAACATATTTTGAATAAAGAATATATCACCAACTCCTAAGTAAAAAAGAAATAAAAAGGCAAAATATTTTGAACATTGGAACAGTTCTCAAAAGGCAAGTGACAAAAATAGATATCTGGATGCCCAATAACTATATTAAAGGGTAGTCAACTCATTAACCATATGAGAATTAAAATTGAAATCACGGAGATGCGCTCATCAACTGTTAGGAACTTAAAAGAATGCCAACTTAATCCAGGAAGCTTAAAACCCTGCCTAGGCAGCCACGAGATGTCTCCCTGAGTCTTCAGCTGCGCCACGTGCTGTCCTTCTACTGTAGGAGTAAGCAAGTCGCAGGGGAATATCCATTTCAGGGTTAGGAAAAAAAGCAGTGTTATACATAAGACAAAAAAAAATAAAAGCGGAACACTTGGAGTCCCCTGCTTGGCACAGGTAACAGGAAGACAGAACGTGAAGACAGAAGCTCATACCTTTCCACGTTGTGTATCTGGAAAGCACTTGTGGAAAAAGGCATTTCTGTGGTCGATATCCAGTCTGACCCATTGTGTGTGATGTTACAGCCACGGACTTCCAGGGGCAACGGCAAGGTTCTCTCAGGAAGCGGAGGGTAAAGCTGAGCCCCAATTCCTACCCATAAAGAAACGGCGAATCCAGCCAACAGACCTACGAACGCTCCCTGGAAAACAAGAGAAAGATAACATCGTTCTCTTTGAGGTGGATTTAGCATGAGTTACAGTCAGTTTCGAAATGGTCAAAGCCAAATTGGCCAGTCCCCTACCTGACTCCCCTCCCTTACGGTGTCTCTGCCTCTTTTCAAGGTCACCACAGATCCCTGGCCTCTCTGCCCAGAGTCTTAGACACTCACGAACCTCATTCCCTCTTTATCTAACCAATGACTGTGCTATAAATGTCTGACATTACTTACATACTTTCTAGGTCTTTTCAGAACTTCCTCCTATGGGGGAAATGGACTTCCTGTTGGTTTTCAGAGAAGTCATTTTGGATTTTATTTATTCTAAACACAATTTTGCAATTCCAGATGCAGACATGTTTAGAGAAAATAGCAGTGATGTTGCCTCTTTCCAAAAAAATATTCCCAATTACATTCACCTCCTCAGGACTAGAATGACATAGAGAAGTTATGGCTTGAAGTGCCGAATGAACAAACTGTGTAGTCATGATGGCAACGATCTGATTGCCTCTTTTTGCTGTGCTCTGACCGAAAACATTCTTTAACTCTAAGCCTGTTGCTCTCCTTCCTTAAAGCCTAGATACTCAATTCTAAGAAGGGCAATAATGTAAAACAAGCAAGAGATGTTGGTCTGTTTACATTCTGAGCATTTAAATTGCACTGCGTGGTTCTGACAGTTTCTATTTAGCGTCCTACATGCAAGACCTGCTAAGGGTCTTCAATGCCCAGTTCCTCACCGTACACTCTGTCAAAGTCAAAATGAGTCATTTCAGACCCCAAGACAAGTAACTAATGGCAGACCTCAACGCGACCGTGTCTTTACAGCGAAGGGAAAGAACGTAGCTGGAAAAGTAACCTTTTGCCATGTCGATTAGCTATACTTACCGTCGAATTGGCAAAGGGGACTAACATGCCCAAAGAAAACAAGCCCAGAAGTGGCCCACCAACCATGCCAAATATGCTGAGCGCTGCCTGCAAAACGAACACAAAATCAACAGTTAGAAATCTCAAACCCGAGCACAAGGTTCCAAGCAATTTCATCAGGGTAGGCATTAAACTCCTCGAGAAAAATAAATCATAATTTTATTCATGGCAATCTTGTCATTGATGAAGGTCACTGACACCTGGGAAGTTCTGTTTCTCGATCTTAAGTGTCTTCTGTTCCTTTGGGTGTTTGTTTGTTTTGAGACACGGTCATCTCTAGTCCTGGCTGTTGAGCTCACTATATAGACCAGGCTGGTCTTGAACTCACAGGGATCCTCCTGTCTCCACCTCCCAAGGGCTGAGATTAAAGATGTACGCCACCACAATTGGCTCGCCTGTCCCTTCGGGTACCCTCAAATAGGCAACAAAAGGCTGGAGAGATGGTTCAATGGTTAAGGGTGCAGAAGACCTGAATTCACTTCCTAAAACCTGCAGCAGGTTGCTCACGACAGCTCTAACTCCAGCTCTGAGGAACCAGGCGCCCTTTTCTAGCCTCGATGGGCACCTCCACTTACATCCACATATTCGCGCAGACACACACACACACACACACACACACACACACGTACACAATTGAAAAAACTATTTTTAAAGATAACAAAAGGGGCTGGGACAATAGCTCCATCTATAAAATGCTTCACAAGCACCTGAGTCTGAGGCACACACACAAAACCTAGATGTGGCAATCACATGGCTTTAATCCCAGTGTAGAGGAAGCGGAGACAGGAGGGATCATGGGGCTTGCTGGCCAGCCAGGCTAACTGGATTAATCAATTCCAGGTTCAGTGAGAGATCCTGTCTCAAAAAACAAGATGGGGCACAACTGAGGAAAACAGCCAATGACCTTCCAGTTTACACACACATGCATGAGAACCCCTCCCCAACACATATACACACATGCACACACACACACACACACACACACACACACACACACAAACCAAAAAAAGGCATCACAATGCAAGGAAGACAAAGAGTCATGAACCATTGGAGCACCTCTGTGAGCGCATAAATCGAGACACCCCTTCTCAGCTTTGTTCTGCAAATCACCACTCTGTTTCATGCGCTGATGGTCTCAAAATATTCCCCGAACAAGACTGCGGACAGGCACTACAAAATGGCCAGAGATAACAATAAAATTCATGCGCATCCCTGACTGGATCTGATAAGGATTTAATTAGATTGAAAATTGGTTTTAAATTAATTGATCTACTGGCACAGAGAACGATGTAAAATCTATTTGGAATCTTTTCTTTGAGATGGAGATACGAAAGCCAGGAGACTGAAAAAGATTTGCGATATGAAACGTGAGGCAATGCAAATAATGCTCCAGGAGATATATGCTCTTAATAACCTAACAACTTCAATAACCTAAAGTCTAGTTTTGAAGACTGAGCAGGATAAAAGCTAATGGTTAGCTGATTGGGTATTACGTTATAAATTTTTAAGGGAAATAAGTTGTGAGGGGCTAATGTTTACGAGAGTGACGATGGGGAGTGATAATGGATTATAAGTCTCAAAGAATCTATAAGAAATGATTTTGAATGTTTTCATCACTGCAAAATGATAAATATACAAAAAGGAGATAGATATACTTAATCACATTTTAATGCAGTAAAATACACACATGTATTAAAACATGATTTTATGCACCGTAAATATGCAGTTTTATATGTCAACTAAAATGTAAAAAGAACCATTACAGAATGTGAGCACGGTGATTTCTCCACCAAGAGGTTTGACACAACAGAACAAATGAATCAGAGAGTATACCTGGGAAATGTTAGAAGACATGTACTGGATTGTTGATTCAAATGATTCCTTAAAGTCTACACTGTGACTGGAGAATGTGTGGACACTGTGAAAGAGAGTGATATATGAGAAGGATGTGGGCTAAGGGATGTGATGGGTATCTATTCTCAGTAGGGATGTGATGGGGGATCTGTTCTCAAAAGTCACAGGATGTGAGACAGACTTCACTGTGAGGTGTGAAAAGATATCCACAAGGCCATGAAGCCAGTTATGACAACATGATCTGGGAGTCACGTTTATAGAAATAAGGAAGATGCTTTTTTAAAAAATCTATTAGCAAAAAAGACCTTTGCTGGGCATGGTGGATCACACCTTTCATCCCAGCACTTGGGAGGCAGAGGCAGGGGGATTTCTGTGAGTTCGAGGCCAGTCTGGTCTATAAGGGAGTTAGTTCCAGGACAGCTAGGGCTATTTCACAGAGAAACCATGTCTTGAGAAATTAAAACAAAACAAACAAACAATAAATCAGACAAGGCGACCTTAGTAAGTAATACAGCAAGGAGTTACTGGTTAGGCTTGAGGTTAGGATGATTTTGCTAGATGATGTCGCCATATAGTCCAGAGAAGTCAGTCACAATAGGAGTCATCAATCACAGGGCAGATGATGGAGGAAAACACATTCGCACACCCATATCAGCAAAGGTCAATGAGGAACTGAGACTGTACACTGCCAAGGCTCCTCCCTGCTAGGCAGTATATCGGGAGACATTATAGGAAACAAGCAGTCACCAAGGCACAACAGTAAGGTAGCTCCTTCCACCATGGTATCAGCAGAGATCACTCTGAATGTTTGTGGATGCTGGATGTTGAAATCAACCAGCACCCTCAAAACAAAAACAAAACTTCTTCCCCCATTAACTGTTCAAGAAAGGCCCACTTCTCAAGCAGGTAGCTCATCCTAGCTGCCCCTGTTGGACCCTGAAGTCCAATCACCAAGGAGGAGTCGCCCCAAGAGACCACTCTCACACCACAGTTGATGTAAAAGCAAGAGGATTTAATTCTGTCGTGACAGGGTCTTTTCAGCATTCGAGAAGCCAAAAAGACTCTGAATAGCTGGTACAGGCTACTTTTAAAGTAAAAAGCTACAGAAACAAGGGGGGGGGGTCTGGGAGTTGTTTTTCCAACATTAGGATTGGCTAATTTAAAGGGCTACTAGCATTGATTCTTCTTAGCCACGGCGAGAGAGTGGTTGCTAGATCAGGCGGGGTAAGGGGGAAACATCTGTGAGTCATCCTATCCATATCCAAGGAACTGAGTCGATATTCCCTGACCAAGGCTGAGGAACTAAGTCAATGCCTAAGGGTTATCTTGCCCCAATTCCAATAACTGAGTTCTATCTGGAGAACATCCACAAGGACACAGGGAGATGGAAAATCCCCAACATTCCAGTATGTGCATGTGTAGTTGTGAAGTCCTTGGTTCCCGGGGGGGGGGCACTACTGCTGAGAGGCCTCAGAAATAGCCTCAGAGTTGTCAGAAATGGCCTCAGAGTCATCCTAGAGTTCTACACCCCCTTAAAAGACAGGTGGCCGACGGATGTCACTGTCAGCTGATCATAAGAATCTCTGTCAAGGGACCATCCTCAAACTTTGGACTATCCTTCTGTGTTTTTTTATGCCTGTATTCAACCCATGTTAGTTGCTAATTGTCCTCTTTCATAAAGAGAGTTTGGTAAGAGTAAATTTGGTGATGGTTTCTAAAAGTCGGGTCTGCTGAGACTAGCTCCTGGAAATCCTCAGAAGAGGGTTGGAATTCCCAGGATAGGGTTGTAACACAGCACTAAGTGGCTCACAGTCATAGCCACCTTGATGGGCCTGTGGCTGTCACTATCTCGGAACCATGGTAAGGCTCATGCTTGACCTCTTGACTCTGAAGAGCGTTAGTCACTAAGAAGCCCCCTGCACTTGGAAGTCTGTCAAATCTCAAGCACCTTTCTGTTGACGGATAAAGAACAGTCTTTGGCATTCTCAGAATGGCCTGCTGGGAACTTAAGTGAGTGGGTACCAACGAACCTGTCAACAATCACAGATCTGGGACAAGCTTACAGGCCCCTAACCCTTTCTGCTAGGAGCTAGTTACAGATGGGTTTGGGAGGAGGGGCAGTCATGGTCTGCGATTGCGGAGCCCACAACTGTCTTCGCTGAGGAGCCCACCTGGCTCCAGCACATAATTCCATACCTGTGGTCACACACATGATTCTAATTAAATACAGTCTCTAAAACACAAAAAGAAAGAACCAATAATAACAACAAATCATGAATGTGGGAGGGGAGACTTCTAAGGAGGGGAAATAGTAATAGAGATTCAAGGCTACAATAATCAGAATATACATTATACATGAGTGAGATTGTGCAAAAACCAAACTGAGGAAAAGTTTTTCTGTTGAAAAGTAAATTCAAAGAAAAAATAAACTCGGTTTTAAAAAATGGACCATAAAATAAGTTTTACACGGTATATTCTCCCCAACAAATTGAAGTCTTTCTGTAAAACTGAAAATAAACGAAATGAATGTCAACATTCTCTCGCTCGCTTACTTATGCCTTCCGACCTTAAGTCTTTGCATCTGAGGATTTGGTGTGGTCTGAGTAACTGACTTTCTTGGGGGGAACGGCCCCTCACTTCCTGTTTACTCCGCACCAAAGACACCTGGCAGCCATGCCTGGAGCACTTTATCTTGCCAGTGCTGTACATGCTCGGTGGGAGGCACCAGTGTCATGAGCCAGATACAATCAGGGACAGAGGACCAACGGACTAGAAGAGTCTCCATCCAGACCTCAGCCTCGGGATGTGGGGTAGTCTCCCCCTTGTCTAAACCTACATCCAGCTATATATGCGCCATACCCCATTTCTATACATACATATATATATATATATATATGGTTTTAATTTCCTATAAACCTGTAATTATCTGAAATGATATCTTTCAAATATTAAAAATAAGGGGCTAGAGAAATGCCTGAGCAATTGAGAGTGCTTACGACCTCACAGAGGACTCAGTTTCTGTAGCCAACGCCCACATCAGACAGCTAACAAAACTGCATCTAACACCAGCTCCAGGGCTTCTGGTGCCCTTTGACCTCTGTGGGTATATGCCCACACATGGTACACATACAAACAAGCAGGCATATCCACCCACATGTAAGTAAAAGAAGAAAAGATGCATTGTTTGAGATTTAAAATGCAGCCATTGCTCCTTGATGCGTACAAGTGTAGCTAAAGAGAGAGTGTGAAGGTCATCTCTGAATGTTTAAACTAATAATTTAGTGATTGCAACACCAGCTTCAGACTCAGCTTACCTGTAACAGGGCTCCCATCAGCGACGCCACGGCAGCCATCCCAATACACAGTGCTCCATACAGCACACCTACGGGACAATACAAAAGACAGTATACGCATGCATGTCAACCCAAAGGATGGCGGTCCGCAATAAAATGAACACCACACCTTGGAGTCAAAGTGGATAATGCCATTGAGATGAGAACAGCACACACATTAAAGCCAGCAAGACAAGGCAAAAAGGCGTTTTCCTATCAGACCAACGGGGTGCAAAGAAGACAAACAAAGCCCTTATACTGTGCCCGGGATTAATCACAACAGAGGGTTATGTAAGAAAGGAATCCCTGGAATTAACTACAGGGGATTTAAAATTTAGCACCATTGTGTTATTGATTTAATCCCCCACAAACATTTGTCTATAAAGGGAGGTGTGGGGCTCGGCTCAGGACTCCAGAATGGGAGCCTCTGACTCTCAGCGCTCCTTTGTTCTGGGAAGTGGTAATCCACACCGACCTGTGGTCAGCAACACCCACACCTTCCCAGGTAAACTAGCAGAGAAAGGTCACATTAATCCATATCATGTGCCACGTTCCTTCCTCCAAACGGCTTTACAGAAGTTCTCGACACACCACCGGCTGGTAACTGGTGGGGATTTTCTCTTCACCTTCATTTTCTTTGATAATTTCCTTGTTGCCTTCATCATCATCTTCTTCCTCTCATTCATTACATCCCAACTACAGCTTCCCCTCCCCCTCCTCCCAGCCCCCACCTCCCCTCTCCCCCACGTCCGCTCCTCCTGCTTTCCCTTCAGAAAATGTTGCTCTTAAAATTAAGAAATATTACCTTCTAAAGCATTTTGGGTTTTTTGCTTGTTTGTTTCTTTTTTTTTAAAAAAAAAATCCATTTGGAAAAAAAAAATTGACAGCCATCGACCGATATAATTTCCCATGCTCAAAATTAAAAAGGAAAAAGAAAATCGAAAAACGACAGATGGGCTATTTCTTATCATAAAATTAATGCATTCCTTCTGCTGTGGGTATCGCCGCCTTCTTTGTCCCAGAACTCATACTTTCGCATAGAATATTATGTAAATTATCCAATCTCTGCTGAAAGAAAACACCTGTTTTCTTCAAAGGACTCTTGTAATAATGTAGGTAGGGCTTAATCTAAATCTAAATAGCGTTGCCAGTGTTTTGACTTAATTCTTCTCAATCTAGTAAGCCATGAATGGTCACCAATATGAGTTTTGGTGCCCATAATTCATGCAGAGTCAAGCAGACTGTCACGTTGTCTGTGATGCCCTTGACTACATATGCCTCAGTGTAATGGCGGCATAGAACCCTTCTAAAGGAATTAAAGTCGGGCCGGGTATGATGTCACACACATGATCTCAGAACTCAGGAGAATGAGGCAGGAGGATCATGAGTTCAAAGTCAGGCCGAGCTGCATAGAAAACAACAACAACAACAACAACAACAAAACCTGCTTCAAGTTTGAGCAAGAGGGAGAACGATAATATTCTCATTACTATGAGTAATTATTGTCGGAGACAGCCAAAGAGGATCCTGAGGCATTGTCCTCTGTGGTTCAGTGATGCTTGACGATTAGATAGTCTTTTTCTTTTTGAGACTAAACTCAACTACCCAAAAACTCATGGTTTTTCTGCCTCAGCCTTCTGAGAGCCAGGCTTACAAATGTGCACCCACCAATGCCATCTTAAACGTCGGAATTAGTTCCCAAATCTTCATGATAGATACCATCACCCCTTAGCATCGTAAGGGCATGTTCTTGGATGGGTATTCATACTAGGACGTACTTAAACGTCTTCAGGAGACAATTTCTGGTGTCTCCAAAACAAAGCCAAGCCTCCCCCAAATGGAGTCATGGGAAAGGAAACGCGGGCACATACTCATTCCTTGGGAAATCCAAGACAGAGACTTCTCTGAGAGTGACTTGAAGTGAGGTCTGACGAGATCTTCCACGGTCACCGCAGCTAAGGCGTTAATACTGGAGGACACCGTGCTACAAGAGAAGAGAAGGCTTTGGTTTATAATAGATTAATTTTATGATACTTTTAGCGGGAATGAGGAAAAAGAAAGCAAACCGACACTTCTAAAATAGAGGCAGATGGGGCTAAAGCGCTGGCTCAGGGTTGAAGCATGCTAACTGCTCTTGGAGAGGACCTGGGTTCGACTCCCAGTACCTGCAGTAGCGGAGTCACAGCCACTTGTAACTAAGGCTCAGGGGACCTGATGCCCTCTTCTGAACTCTGAGGGCACTGCATGCATGTAGTGCACAGACACACCTGCATGCAGGCAAAAACACCCATGCACACCAAATAATAAAACAATTGAAATACAATCACGTTCTTTTATTCTTAATGATCGTAGGACCCTCTTTCTGGAAGCTACTATCTTTCATGAATGAGTCGGGCCACACAGAGAGATTTGACAGCAAAGGGTAAAGGACGAGGCAGCAATGCTTCTAATTCCCAGACAGTCTTCTGCATCTAGAAAATGAATTTGCACCTGTCACTCAGATTATCACAAACCAACTTGAAGATATGCTTTCTTTGTGCATAAAAACGTTTAGAAGATGTACGGTTTTCAACGTGTAATTAGGAGCTCTGAGGCTGGTTTTGCAGGTTACCATGATTTAGCCTCACGCGTTTAAGCCAAGACCGACGCCACTCGTGTTTCATACTCAGCAAATATGCAAGCCCCATCAGGTGATCATCATCACTGTGACCCTATTGGGTGTGCAATGCCGTGCTAGAAAGCAGGGACCTGGTCGAGCGTCGAGCGTAGAGCCTGATACCAGGAGAACGGCTCTGCAGGTAGCCAACCCACAGAGGGGCGCATGGAGCAGCTGGTTGGCTGCTTTTAGGCTATTTGTGACCATGCCCAGAATTCATCTTTACCTCTCGCAGTAACCAATAAGAAAAGAAAGATACTCTGAAGTTAATCTTAATTGTCAACTTGATTAGATAGGGAAATGCCTGGGATGACATTTTCAGGTCAAAATGAATGGATTCATGCCTTGATGGGGTGCACCCTGATGGCGTTATTGGGGAGGGTAGGAAGGTAGGGCATCGAGCCTGCGTAGATGAAACAGGTCACAGTTAGTACACCGCTGGAGACTCTACCTTGCACTGGCCTCTTTGGTGGAAAAGGTCTTCCAGCGCATGCTCCCACCACCAGAATGCTTTGTCAAAATGCCTAGAGCCAGGCGAGTATGGGTTGAACCCTCTGAAGCCATGGCCTAACAACCTTCCTGCAGGTTGTTTCATGGATACAATGACTGTTAAACCTACGTCCTGACAGCAATGGCGCCTTCACAGGATCACAGTTACCTCAAAGTCCCACTGTAGGCGCAGGCCACAAAAAGTCCGGGAACTCCAGGGTAATTCCGCAAAATGTCCAGCACCAAGTAAGGCATAAGCTGAAAAAATCCCAAAATTTACACCCAAGTATTAGTTGCTACTAAACAAAATTAATACCTAGCCGATTTCATATTCTTCCAAAAATAATGGGATATACTCCAGAGAGGTAAGAAATGAAGTCAAAATACATTGCTTGAATTCTCAAAGAATAAACTAAAAAACCAATTTAAAATAATCCTCATTTTCTGATCCCGCAGTTATACGGGGGCAGGGGAGTTACATGCACAACAATGTGGATTTTGTCCATCATCATTCTGAGGCCCCAGGTACTTGGTCATCAAGCAGGTTTTAGGACGTAAGTTTTGGAGGAGCTCGGGCTCCTGGAGTCAGGAGATGCTAAGTTTGAGTTGTGCAGCAAGTTTGCAAGAAAGTGCATGTCACGTTATGGAGTCTCCAGGAGCTCCAGTGGCAGGGCCTGGGTCTGAATGGTCTCAGCTGGCCAGCTGCTTACCCATCTCCTCCCTGAACCTTGTTCTTAAAGCAAAGTAATAATATACTTTGCTTCAGAGTCTAACGGTGGAAAGGAAAAAAGTAGAGTGTAAATAAAGCCTATACCAGAGGGTCTGGCCTATTTAAGGACCCAATGAATTCTCACTATAATTCTGCTTATTAGCAATGTGACCTTGTGCCAATCAAAACCCTCACTGAGTCTGGCCTAGTGGCATACTGCTTTAATCCCAGGACTTTCAGGGTGGAGGCAGGTGGATCTCTGTAATTTTGAGGCCAACCTGGTCTACAGAGTGAGTTCCAGGACAGCGAGAGCTACACAGGGAGACCCTGTCTCGAAAACAAAACAGAAACAACCGATAGCTCACTGAGATTCACTATGTTATCTATAAAACTGGGATCACAGTGCTGTGGAGCTAAAGTTAAGCATGGTGAGACTCTAGACACGGAATCTTTCATGCATAGGATGCAAACACTGTTCCCTTCTTGGTCGGTCTCTACATTTAAAACTGGCAGATGGGGCTGAAGAGATGGCTCGGTGGTTAAGAGCACTGGCTGTTCTGCCAGAGGACCCGGGTTCTGTTCCTAACACCCACACGGCGACTCACAACCACTGGCAGCTCCAGTTCCAGGGACTCCCTCTTCCTCTTCCGACCCCTGGACGGACTGAGCAAGCACGTGGTACACAAGCATATAGATAGGCAAAATACTCACTCACATAAAATAAAACGAACAAATGTAAAATTCACTCACATAAAATAAAACGAACAAATGCAAAATTCAAATTAATTAAAACTGGAAGACTGTTTATAAGAGAGTACTCTCACAATACCCACAAGCTTCTACGGTACCGTGTTTCATGTCTAGTTTCTGTTAACTGAGTTTACTTTTTTTACTTCCAACCCTGAGTTTTTTCCTGGCTTGACCTTGCTCCTGGTATCTGAACAGTTTAGTCTTAGATCCAGAAATCTTCACATGTTTTGCCAAACACTTGAGAGCAGTGAAAGGTGTCTAGTCGTGTTGTGCCCACTTGTTGGGTCTCTACAGGGACTGGAACTTTTCTTCCCGACGCCATGCATGCTTGACATGCATGACACCATGTCACCGGCGCACGTGTGAGGAAGATGTGGTTCCAAACCTGGTCAATTTCCGACACTTTCTTAGATGTCCAGGGATCGCAGTCACGGTATCTGGAGTACAGGGCGAGCCCACAGAACACGGAGCAGGTGAGGATCACCCAGAGACCCACAAGGTTGATGTAGAGAGACCTAAAGGAGAGGGCGCCAGCAAATGACAGCTGTACTTCCTATCTCAAAGACTAAGAAAACTTATCCAAGACCAAGGGATAATGTCATGACTATTCTTAATATGTGCACATAACATTTTGACTCTCAGAAATGATTTCTAGTCGGATTGTCTTGATATCAACCAACCGTGTATCTAGAAATCCTTCGGGTGGATGCTGTTTCTCAGTGAATATGTCCGCCTACTTGAAATCCACAGACATCCATGACTTTATAAGAGTATCTAATTATAATACCCTGAGCCTCTTACTATAAAATAAGGATTTTAATAGGCACTAGAGCAGTTACTGGCTCATTCTCCTTTGAAAAGAATGAATTATAAATTGCTAAAGATGGTCAGTATCTTTATATCAACCAAAAAAAGTCCTTCCAAAGTAGTGTCTAGGACTGCCCGTGAAGGACAAGAAACACATCTTGTATTCCCTCTCTCGCCCATTAGCTCTCTCTTTGCCTCCCATTAGTTAGAGCAGAAATGGACATTTACATGGACATTTGCACAGAGTTCTCCCGAACTTCCCACATGGCCATAGCATTTCCTGTACTCACTAAAGCTCAACAAAATTATGTAATTTGTACAATGCCGTCCAGGTAGCAAGTTGGAGGGCATCATAACCCATGATGGAGGCTGATAATACAACGTATGCCACTACATCCACTCTCCAATAATTACTCTTCTATTGTTTGGAGGAACTTACATTTCTGTCCAGTGTCATGTCACTGTTTCCAGATTGCATACGCTTTTCTAAGTGGATGCTAAACTTCCTCATGATAAAAGACATATATAAAGTTGTTTGGTGGGACTCTAGCAAGCCAGGTAATCATTCTTCTGTTTAGCTCTCCTTTATGTTTTTTTTTTAGCTCCCATAGGTTCTTGAGACATTGACTTGCTGAGAGCATCTTACTTAATAAGTCATAGGAATATTTTCAAATGCTTGATTGAAAAGATCTATTACCCTTTGTGTGCGACTATAGAACCACATGCCAGCCAAACCTGGTCCTTTGGTTCATTGTTTATTTTTGGCATTTCATGACACAAAAGACTTAAAATTGAACTAAAGTTGACTACGGAAGCATTCCCATAAGAGCAATGGTCGTTATCAATGACGCATACACCATAGTTGGGCTTACAGTTTTGCGTGGAATCTGTTTTTACAGGAGATGTATCTCTGCACTTGGGACTGGTTGATCCCGTAGATGGTGGTCCATGTGAAAGTCCCTCCGATGATAATGGTCCAGAACGTGTGTCTTTGCAAAGGGTTAGGATTAAAACTGAATGAATAAGGAAAGGAAAGCAGAGACAAATAGTTTGCAAGGGACAAAAGAAAATGCTTCTAGAAAACCTTTAGATGCAAGCATGTACACTCACAGGTTTACAGGAAGACATCCGAATTTATAATGTCAAAATACAAGCGTTCTCATTTCAGTGCAATTAAGTAGACAATGATGTTTCCAGATATCAGGGGATTTTAGATGGAGTTAGGAGAAAATACATGTTCTTATCACGTCGAGCATTTAGATAAATTGCTCTCCCATAGTGTTAGGTGACTACTGTTAAAACGAATTGGCCACGCTATACCAGGGGGAGGGGATCAAAGTGTACCATGGAAATAGATATCATACCAAAGTAAATACAATTTAGCACACTGTGCGGACACAATCCCTCCCCTAGCACATGTCTAGCCACAGTTAAGCTTAAGAAGTCAATGCACTCTCACGGGACACACTTTGTGAAACGATTACATCATTATGACCGCGCTTTCTTACAGTTCTGTGTGCAAATGCTACCAGTCTCCACCCACTTCGTGGCAGGCACACAGGCCACTGTCAGGAAATGCCGCTTCCATCTGAAGCCCCTCTTAGCTCTCTCCCATATGTCACCCTGGAAGGAAGGCGTCTACTCATCTCCCCATAAACATGAACTTGAAAACTTCCCACAAAGTAAGCTTTCCTCAACCCTTTCCGGAAATTATGAAATTGAGAGCCTCTCTCCCAGTGGTTCTCAACCCGTGGGTCGCATACCAAATAGCCTGCATATCAGATACTTACAACTATAATTCATAGCAGTAGCAAAGTTACAGCTATGAAGTGGCCACCAAATAATTTTATGGTTGGGGATCAACAGAACCTGAGAAACCGTATTAATGGGTCACAGCATTAGGAAGGTTGAGAACCACTGCTTTTTCCCATGGCATGACATCCTATGTCAAATTCCAAGGGCTTTGGGCTCTCTGGCTCTTTCTCCTGTAGAGTTATCTACCACGTTAACCAAAAGAAGAGCCACAAAGATTCAGTGAGCTCTTTGAAGGAACTAAGGAGGGAGGAAAAAAACACAATTCGGAGATTCTAGTTCTTTTTTTCATTTTTCTCCATCAGAAAAAAAATTTTTTTCCAATTATCCTCTTAGCACATTTCAGGATAATAGGGAACATTCTGGAAAAGTCTAAAACACAGTGGGTCCTTCATTATCACTTGGTGGTCAGCTGTCTTCAAAGATATGATTATTAAAGTACCTAATTTTTATTTGAAAGGATCTCTTATTGATGTATGAAGCTGTGTGTGTGTATGTGTGTGTGTGTGTGTGTTCTCAACATACAGTGACAGTTATCCTGCAGAGAAATGATTTGTTTTGCACTCTATTCCCTCAGCCTGGGCATATCCGAAGAGACTGAGAATAATCAATATTATCTTTCTTTTTTTCAGGACCACCAGCCCAGGGATGGCCCCACCCACAATGAGCTAGGCTCTCCTGCATTGATCACTAATTGAGAAAATGCCTTACAGCTGGGGGTTGTGGCGCATGTCTCTTTTAATTGTTTTTATTGAGCTATAGATTTTTTTCTCTGCTCCCCTCTTTTCCTCCCCCTCCCCTTCAACCCTCTCCCATGGCCCCCACACTCCCAATTTACTCAGGAGATCTTGTCTTTTTCCCCTTCCTATGTAGATCCATGTATGTCTCTCTTAGGGTCCTCTTTGTTGTCTAGGTTGTCTGGGGTTGTGGACTGTAGGTTGGTTTTTCTTAGTTTTATATCTAGAAGTCACTTATGAGTAAGTACATACAATATTTGTCTTTCTGGGTCTGGGTTACCTCACTAAATATGACCTTTTCTAGATCCATCCATTTGCATACAAATTTCAAGATGTCATTATTTTTTACCACTGTGTAGTACTTCATGGTGTAAAGGTACCACATTTTCTTTATCCATTCTTCTGTTTTCTACAAAAAATGATCATTTCCAATTCCTCTGATCCATTTCCCCTCTCCTGGTAAAAATCAATGTGACTTTATTTTGGAGAAACTATGCTTTATTCATTAAATAGTCTGAGTAAATATCAATTAAAAGTCTCTTCTTGTTCTGCCCAAGCTATGGCAGGGACCGTAGCTCAAGGCAGCCCTACTGGAAGCTCTCAGGGTTCAGAGCTGAACCTTGAAGTAAAAGGAGAAGCAAGTATTGCAACCAGTTGCAGATGATTCCCTGACATGCATTCCTCCAAGGGAACAGGGTAGTGCTGTTTGGTTTCTGAAAGGGCCTCTCTCAAAAGAAGAGGACTATATTTAAAAGACACAAAAGATCCATCTTTCAAAAATCACCTAAGTGATTTTTTTATTCTTTCATTCCACTAGTGATTGAAGATTTCCAACCTCAACTTAGGACTATTTAAAGAGAAGAGAATAAGGTCCAGGTCAAAATGAGCCTCTTTCCACACTGAACATGGTGCATCAAGGTGATTATATTGAACCAAGGGGAAGGTGTTTTCCTAATTCTCCCCGACTGTCCGATATGCTCTGGATGGGCCAGCTAGGCTTCCCATTGTCTAGACATGTTTAGTCTATGCCTGGCTGTCACTTGAAACGTCAGCCATAGCTTTTCATTTTTATTTGTATTTATTTTAATTTAAAAAATTATTTATTTTGGTTTTTCAAGACAGGGCTTCTCTGTCTAGTCCTGGCTGTCCTAGAACTCACTCTGTAGACCAGGCTGCCTCACAACTCAGAGAGATTCACCTGCCCGTGCCTCCCACATTGCTAGGGTTAAAGGTGTGGGCCACCACCACCTGAACCTGGTCAGTGTTTAAGAAATAATGCATAGAGATCCATACATGAAATCCTATTCAACAATGTGTTATTTTAATATGCTACACATTTCCAGAGTGACATCAAAACGTGTTTGTTAAAATAAAGCATCATCCGAATGAAATCACCGTGCTTCAGCATTTGGGTCATAAGGGCTCCTTTGCTCACCTTTCGCCATTTTTCCTACCCTTCCTCCAGTCCGTTCCAGACTCTAACCTCTGGAAGAAAACACGCTTTTTGCTCTAATGTCCTTCTCTGAAGAAAGAAACATCACAATACCATATGACCCCAATGGCATCAGTTGCCTTTAACCCCTCAAAAAACTGGCAAAAATCCCCAGACACTTACTGCCCAACTTTAATATTACAGGCCACACCCCTAGTAACTTATTTATTTTCCAGTTAAAAACTTTCTAGTCCAATAAAACTATGTGTTACAGAGAAAACAAAAGATGCATTTTATTAACCAGAAGGTAAACAGCAACTTACTTCCAGAAGTTTAATCTGCCTCCGCTGGAGGCCTCACTCAAAATTGTATTGATACCGTCTTGAGTTATAGTAGCCTGGATGATCACGGATGCAAATCCAGCCACCATGATCCCAACTTGAAAAACATCTGTCCAGACCACCGCTTTAAGACCACCCTTTGAGAAGAAAATGTGTTAGGATTAATACTTCTATGAGATGTGATTGGATATCTGTCTAAATGTGAATGTGCCATGTTAGACAAAAATGACAAAACATGGAGCTTGCTCAAGAAGGTCACTCACTCATAGGAGATGGTCGTGCTGAAAGAACATTTATAGAGAAGAAAATATTTAACCCATCCCTCAAGCACAGGCAGAGGCAAAGATGGAAGATCCTCCCAGGCCAGAAAATGGTCTAGGGAAAAGGAGGAGAGGAGAAAGCTATACATGGTCTATTGAATGTGGCCAGATAGAAACTCTGGACGGAGGGAAGTGGGGTGAGGAGGGTGTTGGAGAAACAATTCACAGTTCAATTGTAAAAGTCATTGTGTTTGTACCAGATACCCATATTGTCTGTCAAGACACTAAAATGGTTGCATGCTAGCCACTGCCACACATGTTTCTCTGCAGCCTCTATGGCCTGGGTTTAAATAGGCTCTACACAAGGCTCTTGCTTCCTAGATGATTGAGCAAAATAAAAGGTTAATAAAGAAACTATCAAAGATCACATAAATTTGCATTGCTGCAAAGCACCTGCCTCCACAATAAAGCAGCGTCGCGTCTTGACGGCTGACACACGTATTTTGTCACCTGTGTCTATAGTTAATAGATCATTATCTCAAGTCTCTATGCTGAGGTATGATATGAACACGTCTATAATATTTTGGAAACCGTAATCAAGAATCAAGAGATTAAAAACAGGGACCTGCGCCATGGTTCAGATGAAAGGAGAATTTCGTTTGTAATCCATATCTGAGGACCAAATGTTCCTCACAAAAATGTTGTACCGTGAGAAGCCCAGAGAAAAAGAGTAAGTCTGAGCAGTCAGCAGGACTCCTTGAACTTCCACTTCTGCAATGCGAGGGGAGGGGGAGGACACCCTTCACATACCAGTGTGCAGTAGAACGTGCAGACCACCCCAGTCGCCACCACTGCGCCCCACAGATCAAATCCTGTAACTGCAGAAGAAAAGAGAACACGTGTTCAGCTGTGAAGTGTGCATAATGAAAGTATTTCTCAAGAACGACCAGGGAGGCACCTAGCTCTATACTGGCGCGCTTAAAACTAGACTCAGGTCTCAATGTCCCCAAGATAAATGACGCAGAAAATCGTATTTGTGAAGTTCAACAGACATCTTGCTTGTTTATAGTCACAGACACCATAGATGCAACACTGGCTAAATGAAACACATAGAAAAGGATTTATATTGTAATTAAGTTAAGAAACTGCTTGATTCTGGGAAGTAGTTCATCAAACTGAATAGGCTCAAAGCGGAGCTCCCATACCTTCCTATTGGTTCACATAAATATGCTATTTCATCAGACCTTGAAATGTGTGTTTTTAAGATAAGAGTCGAGGTAGAAAAGTCTATTATTTGCTACCAGTTTTCTAAGAAGTGGAGGGACATATTTTTAATGGAAGGATAAATAAAAGCCAACAGAAAAAAAGTTACCTATAATATATAAAGGATAAACAGGACAGAAGGGAGAAAGCTATGTTAGACTTTTTCAAATATATTCCTATTTATAAATTTGACTTTGGAACCATTATATAGTCTACACAATTGGAAAAGGTAAAGCTAAGGACCTCCTGAAATTAAAAACTAAGAACTGAACAATACCCTCAGACATGCAAGTTGTTACTTTCAAAACTAACAAGTAAGGGGGGGGGGACCATACAACTGCCCTGCCATTCCTATACAAATGACATTTCAGAGTAATTAAATAGTCAAGCAAAGGAACCTCCTCCTTAGGTGCGGCCTATCTAATCAATGAAGAGAGAATTACAAAATTAGTATGTAATGTGCAATAAGGGCTAACAGCCAAGAAGCCTCAAACGTTCCCTATTACCTAGAAGATAGCTCCAAAATTTGATCTGCAGCTGGGAAATTACAAACTCTCCAGGTGCTGTTTATAAGAAACACTGAGAACTTAGGAAACACTGGAAGAAGATTCAAACTGAGGAGTCCCCAGAACTGTGGAGAAGCTGCTTGGCCTACAGACTAAAAAAGCTAAGTGTGGTCTGCAGAGGTCCCGGGCATAAAAAAAAAAAAAAAAAAGTGGGCAGACATTGGATGCTTGGATACAGATGCAACCGCAGCATAACTCACAGGATACAGAAGTCCAGAACTTGAGTACCCGCACAGCTGGCAGCCTCCGAGATCCAAAACTAAAGTCAGTCTAGTATTTATTTTCTAACTTTTGGCTCCTTGTGCTCCACCCGTTTTTTTCTTTATGCTTTACTTTTACTATTTTTTTTTTTACTTTATTGCACTTTCTAAACTTAGAGTTTATTTGGTATTACCTTTTGTTGGATTTATCTTATGTTTGCCATAGGAACTAAAGCAAATTATACTAAAAGAAAATCAGGTACACAGAACAGTGTGCTAGAACAGGACCCCGGGAAGGAGCTCATACAAATACAGCCACCTAATATTTGGCAAAGGCATCAGAAACATGTTAGAAAATATAGCTTCTTCAACAAATGGTGCTTGAGAACTGGATAGTCACAGGTACAAGAATCAAACTAGGGCTGGGGGAGTGTTGAAGAGTGGGCTCAGGGGTCAAGATCACTTGTTACTCTCACAGGGGACCCAGGTTTGATTCCCTGCATCCACATAGTGGCTCACAACCATCAACCATCCATAACTCCAGTTCCAGGGCATCCGATATCTCTTTCCGACCTCCACAGGCACCAGGCATGCACATGGTACACAGACATACGTATGAGCAAAACACTCATACACATAAAATAATAAATAGATATTTTTTTAAAAAGTGAAACTAGATCCATATGTCTCATCATGAACAATAAAGAAATAGAAATAAAAATGGGTGATATTTTAATGTAAAACCTGAAATGCTATAATAAAACACTTGAAGAAATCGGCATAGACAAGGACTTTCGGAAAAGGACTGTGGGAGATAAACCCCAAAATTGACTAATGGGGTCTGCACAGAAACCCATATAATCAGCAAAGCAAAGTGGTTGCCTACAGAATAGGGACAAAAGAAGTCTTTCTCGACAATAAATTCCACAGGGAATTAAAGTCTAGAATATATAAAGAACTATTAAGAATTAAATATCTGTGCTGCTGGGGTCCTACTTAGGAAGAGGACTCCTGTGCCTATATCTTGTAGACTACTTCCCACTTTCTCTTCTATCAGGTTCAAAGTGGACGGATTAATGTTGATGTCTTTAATCCATTTGGACTTGATTTTTGTGCATGGTGATAGATATGGTTCTACTTTCATTTTTTTACAGGTTGACATCCAGTTATGCCAGCACCATTTGTTAAAGATGCTTTCCTTCTTCCATTGTATACCTTTAGCTCCCTTGTCAAAAATTAGGTGCTCATAGGTTTGTGGGTTAATATCCGGGTCTTCTATTCGATTCCAAAGGTCGATTTCTCTGTTCTTATGCCAATACCAAGCTGTTTTCAATACTGTAGCTCTATAATAGAGTTTGAAGTCAGGGATGGTAATGCCTCCTGAAGTTCCTTTATTGTATAAGATTGTTTTGGCTATCCTGGGTTTTTTGTTTTGCCATATAAACTTGATTATTGTTCTCTCAAGGTCTGTGAAGAAGTTTGATGGGATTTTGATGGGGATTGCATTGAATCTATAGATTGCTTTTGGTAGAATTGCCATTTTTACTATGTTGATTCTCCCAATCCAAGAGCAGGGGAGGTCTTTCCATTTTCTGGTATCCTCCTCAATTTCTTTCTTCAAAGACTTAAAGTTTTTGTCAAATAGGTCTTTCACTTCCTTGGTTAGAGTAACCCCAAGATATTTTATGCTATTTGTGGCTATCATGAAAGGTGATGTTTCTCTGATTTCCCTCTCTGCTTCTTTATCCTTTGTGTATAGGAAGGCCACTGATTTTTTGGAGTTGATCTTGTATCCTGCCACGTTACTAAAGGTGTTTATCAGCTGTAGGAAGAATATATTTCAACTAAGGGAGTCATATTAGAGTTTACAGGAAACTTGATTATATATGGGATCCCAGGTCCAAGGAGAGATCCCCAGATTGTTCTCTGGACAGAGGAGGGGGTGCCTGAACCAGCCTTGGCCCGTGACCATACTGATGAATATTTTGCTTATCACCATAGATCCCTCAACTGGCGTTGGATGACGATACAGATGGAGGCCCGCGTTGGAGCACCGAACTGAGCCCCCCAAGTTCCAAACGAGGAGCAAAAGGAGGAAGAAAATGACGAAGGACTGCGAGGGATACTATCACCCACTGATACAAGGGGTCGGATCTAATGAGAGTTTACCAAGGCCAGATGGACCGTGACTGAACGAGCATGTGATCCAACCAGATTCTCTGAATGTGGTTGGATTTTCTGAATGTGGCTGGCCTGCAGTCTTTCCGAGAAGCCATTGACAATGACACTGGGACTGGTTTCCTCTGCATATACTGGATTTTTGGGATCCAGTCTGTTTGGATGCTCACCTTCCTGGACCTGGAGTGAGGGGGGAGGAACTTGGACTTCCCACAGGGCAGGAGACCCTGACTTCCCTTGGGGACAAAGAGGGAGGAGGAGAGGGAGGGGGGGAGTGGGAGGGCGTTGGGAGGAGGGGCGTAAATGGAAACTTTTTATAATTTAATAAAATTACTAATAGAAAAAAAAAAGAATTAAATATCAAAAACCCAAATCATCCGTTCTGGCTAGCTTTGTGTCAACTTGACACAAACTGTGGAACATCTCAGAGGAGGGAACCTTAATTGGGGAAATGCCTCCATAAGATCAAGCTGCAGGCAAAACTGTAGAGCATTACTTAATTAGTGATTGATGGGGGAAGGCTCAGCCCACTGTGGGTGGAGCCACCCTGGGCCTGCGGTGCTGGGTTCTATAAGAAAGCAGGATGAGCCAGCCATGAAGAACAACACTCCTCCACAGCCTCTACATCAGCTTCTGCATCCAGGTTCCCACCCAGTTTGAGTTTCTGCCTTGACTTCCCTCAGTGACTTGTGATTCAGACTATGTAAGCCATGTAAATCCCTTCCTCCCCTAATTTCTGTTGGTCATGGTGGATCATTACAGCAATATCAATCCTAACTAAGATAGCCTCCAAATTAATAATAAAAAAAATAGCTAATGAATTAAGTAGACAGTTCTCAAATTGAAAAGTACAAATGACCAATAAATACTTGGAAAAGTGTTCAGCGAGAGAGAGAGAGAAAGAGAGAGAGAGAGAGAGAAGGCCTAAAGTGAGGACAGAGAGCTGAAAGGTGAGGCATTACAACAGGTACCAATGAAATTCAGAAAATCACAGACCTACCTTAAAGTCTTACATTCCACTAGTTTGTAAAATAAAACAAATAAATGCATTTTTTATAACTTTAGCCTACCAACGTTAAACCAATGTGAGATCAATAATTTGAACAGATCTACATAACAAACAATAAAATTGAATCAGCAGTGTTTAAAATGGCCCAACTAGAAAGAGACCAAGCCCAGCTAGATTCAGGGCAGAATTCTGTGAGGCCTTTGAAGAAGCGCGAACACCAATCCAAGTCACTCCATCAAACAGGAAATGAAAGGACACTTCCAAATGCATTGTGGAGTCAGTGTCACCCTGAATACCAAAACCAAGTAAAGATACAGAAAGAAAATCAAAGACAAGTTCCTTCATGAACACAGATGTAAAGTGTTATCAATAAAAGACTTACAAGCATGAATCTAGACTATTATTTTTTTTCACCCTACACAAAACTCAACTCCAGATGGCTGGAAGACCTAACTTAACACCAGGTCTGATATCCTGAAACAGCAGGAGAAGCAGCAAGGAAAACAGTGGAAGACACAGCCCAGGGAAGATCTTCCTCTTAGGACTCCAGGCACTCCAGGAACGTGCCCAGTCAGCAAATGGGACTTCAGAAAGTTAAAAGCCTTCTTTTTTTTTTTTTTTTATGGGAAAGGGAAAAGTTAACCAAATGAAGGGATAGCCCACAGAATGAGAGAAAAACTTTGCCAACTATGTATCCCACAGGAAATACACAAATTACTTTAAAAAAAAAACAACTTAAAAACACTAAATGACAAGAAAACATACAACTCAGCCCCCAAAAAAATGACTAAAGGACTGAACTGAGAGTTCTCAAAAGAAGAAATTAAGATGCCAATAAAAGATTCTTTTAAACCGTTAAGCCTTCTTCATCACCAGAGAAATACAAACTAAAATTACTTCAAGACTTCATTTTGCCCCACTCAAAATGGACATTATTAAGGGAACCAACGGTAACTTATCACAAACATGCAGAGGAGGACCGCAGGGTCACTGTCGATGGGGGTGTGAACTGCTGCAGTCGCTGTGGGAATCACGCTTCAGAATCTTAAATTCTCTAAAAAAACTAAAAAACAGAACTTTCATATGGCCCAGTTCTATCCCCACGCAGCATGTTCTTGAGGAATTCTAGCTTTTTAGCAATAATAATAATAATAATAATAATGCCATCACACAAAAGTCCTAGCCAGACATGTGATGCATATATGTGCATATATGTAACCCCAGTACTTGTCTGGTAGAAGCAAAAAGATTAAGAGCTCAGGACTAGAGCACAGTAACTTGCCACCAAGCCTAAAGACCTGAGTTCAATCCCCCAAACCTACACATCAAAGGGGAGAAAACTGGTTCCCATAAGTTGCCCTCTGACCTCCACATGGGCACCTCTCTCCAACATACAGGATGAACAAGATATAACAAACAAAACGAAGAGTTCAAGCCTCAGTTATATAACATATTTATGAGCTGCATGAGACCCTATCTCAAAACAACATGAACAGCCAAAGGGAAATCCCACTGCTAAATCGAACTAAATAGTAAGTTTATTTTGATCATTTCATGAGCCAAGAAACTACTCACCAGAGAAACAAATTAAAACCACAGTTTGCACTAATATATAATACATGCTAAAACTACTTAACATGAAAAAATTCTTAGTGTTGGCAAGGATATAGGATGCCTTGAACTCTCAGATACTGTGGAACGGACATGTAAAATGGGACATATGTTTAGAAATGCTATTTGACAATATCTCTTAAGTTTCAGCCTACACCTACTTGTCCTGGCCCAGTTCAGAATAGATGTATGTTTATAGTGCCTTCATATACTTCAATTCTGATCAAATGAAAACAGGTATAAAAGCAAAACAACACATAGAAATCTGTGTGAAGATGTTATTAGGATCTTTAATTCATAGTAGCCTGAACTAGAAGCACCCCATGGCCATCAATAAGAGAGTAGATGAAGAAGAGATTTAGGTAGGTGTAAGCAGTGAAATATCTCTACTGATGAAAAGTGATGAACAAATACCACTTATCTGTTGACAAGGAAGTTTTAGAGATAACTCACTTTAACTGATAAGAATTCAAAGGACCCAGAGATTTTCCCGTAGCCCTTTGGAAGCTATGAATAGCCAAAGATGTCTCAGTAAGCTGTTTTGGTCTCACTGTTTTCATTAGCACAAATCTAAGAAAAGATGTAGTTTATTGATGGATACCTTCCTGGGTTTTTATGAACACAACAGTCACAAGGAACAACCTCATATGTCAAATCTCACAGCTACTGTCTACTTCAATATGGACATTTCTAGAAGTAGGGGAAGAAAGGCCAGATTTTTATCATGAACCTGAGCAGAGAACAGAAACTTCTGGGGGCTGTCTGGTTAGATTTTTATAAATTGGACATCTGGGAGGCTACAATCACCTGGGTTGAGGGAATCTCCTCTGAGAAAAATGTCTCTATCAGATTAGCCTGTAGGGAAGTCTGGGGGGGGCATCTCTTAATTAATGGTTGATGTGGGCGGGTACAGCCCACCGGGGGTGGTCCTGGGTTGCATAAAAATAAGGTCAGCAAGATGGAACGAGAGGCTTCTGCACGACAAAGGACACTGTCATTCAGACAAAGTGGCAGTCTACAGATGGGACAAGATTTTTACCAACTACACATCTGACGGAGGGCTAGTGCCCAAAATATACAAAGAACTCAAAAAAAAATAGATAGCAAAAAAATAAAGAAATAATACAATTTAAAAGTAGAATGCAGGTCTAAACAGATAATTCTCAATAGGGTAAACCCAAATGGCTGAGAAACATTTAAAGGAATGTTCAACATCCTCAGTCACCAGGGAAATGCAAATCAAAACGACTTTGAGTTTCCATCTGACACCTGTCAGAATGGCCAAGATCAATGAAACAAGTGACAGCTCATGCTGGCAAGGATATGGAGAAAGGGGAGCACTCCTCCAGGGCTGATGGAACTTCACACTTATATACACCTTCTATAGAAATCCCTCAGGAAGACGGGAATGACTCTACCTCAGCATCTAGTTATACCACTCTTGGGCATATACCTAAAGGATGTGTGGTTGTTTGAAGAGGTATGGCCCCCATAGATGCATGTGTTTCAATGCTTGGCCCATAGGAAATGGCATTATTAAGAGATGTGACCTTGTTGGAAGAAGTGAGTCACTGTGGAGGCAGGCTTTGAGATATCATTATACTCAAGCTATGACTAGTGTGAACACAGTCTCCTGATGTCTGCATCATGTCTGCCTGCATGCCACCACATTTCCCGCCATGGTGATAATGAACTAAACCCGTAAACTGTAAGCCAGCTCCATTTAAATGTTTTCCTTTGTAAGAGTTGCTATGGTCATGGTGTCTCTTCACAGCCATAACACCCTAAGACAGGATGCTTCAGCCTTTCACTAACCATGTTCATTACTGTTCTGTTTACGACAGTCAGAAATTGTAAACAATCTAAATGTTCTTCAACAGAAGAATTGATAAAGAAGATGTGGTACATTTACACAATGGAGTATTGCTCAGCCATTTAAACAAACAACATCAGGAAATTACCAGGCAAATGGGTATAACTAGAAAATATTCTTTCCTGAGTAAGGTATTCCAGATCCAGAAAGACAAACATGGTATGTATTCGCATGTATGCAGATATTAGCCATCAAGTCAATGATAACCAAGCTACTATCCACTGAACCAAAGAGGGTGGGATGGAGTGAGGAACTAGAGGGTAGAGACAGATTTCATTAGGAAAGGGAAATAAAATAGTCAGTTATGAATGGGAGGACTGGAGCAAGAGGAGCAATTGGAGAGGGAGAGGAGAGAGAGGGTTGAGGGAGAAAATACACGGAGATATACCTAAAATGAAGGGGCATTTGAGGGTAGTACGGAAACCTAATACAGTAGAAACTTCCTAAAATATGTCTATCTATGAAGATGATCTAAATGAAATTACCATGGGGGAGAAAGAGCCCCAACTGGACATCTCTTGTCACCAAAGGAAGCTTCCAGTCCCTGGATTGGGTTATATCTAATTGAGTTGTTGACCAAAGTGGTCCTGTGGGAATCCCCAGTAACTCAGACTTTTGCCAAGACAAAAGGTTGCTCTCCACAAACTGACAGCAAGGCCCCATTGCTAAAGAGAACATCCGCACAGCTCATCGAACACGGAGAGATGGTGCCTACATAGATACTTAACCTACATTCTAACATCTTTGGTACAGAAACACACTCTACATGCTGCCAAAAGAGAAACATAAACAGCAAGCCAGCCACAAACCCTTTGTATCTATAATAGTGTTCTGGTTGCAGAATATAGGGCACTCATGGCACAGAACTTGGGGGACTAGTCAACCAGTTCTGATTTGAGCTAAGCCCCACTCCATGAGATGGATCTGATACCTGACACTGCTTAGGGGACCAGGAACCAGAGACCAGATATTAAAATTAAAAATAAAAATAAAAGAAATAGAATTTAAATTAAAGCCATGAAAAAATGGAAAATACACAGAGAATCTGGATACTGTATATTATTGTGTTGTCTTTGAATTGCTTGACAGCTGAGGAAGGAACAACAGCTGCTAAAAGACATTTGAATATAAATGTTGCTGGATTAATAAAATATAAGTATTTTGAAAATACCTTGACGTCAAAGCTGAAGTCAAAAGGTATGTTATTTTGGAGAAGAGGTTTTGTTTTTGTTTCCACAGGAAATGAGAGGCTGTGGATTCATTCTGAGTTAAGAAAAATCAGGTTTGATCAAGAAAGACCACCTGAGAAATCTCCTATAAGAGCTGATGGCCCAGATGTCTGAGTTCTACATCCAGAACAGATACAAGACTGCTGCCTGAGATGATCAACAGGATAGATCCTCACAGGATACTCTAGTCACAACTTGACCAAAATTCTAAATTTTCCTTAGGTCCCCATGAGATTATCAGTGCCCCCAATCAGCAGGAAGTAGCCTGGAAAACTATGCCCACATTCCCCCCAAAAATGGATTATGGATATTTATCTTTGTTTAGAGTGTTGGTTACAACATTATAGATAATGGTCTGGATAAAAAGCTAAACAAAGGATATTAGATTCAGAGTTCTGTGGGACAATGGCTTTACCCTGTAAAGATTTGTTTCTTGTACTTGGTTAATAAATGCTGATTGGTCAATAGCCAGACAGGAAGTAGAGGCAGGGCAAGGAGAATTCTTGGAGAGGGAAGCACAGTCTGCAGTAGTGATCCAGACACAGAGGAAGCAAGATGTGACTGCCTCACCGAATAAGGTACCAAGCCACGTGGCTAACATAGAGAAGAATAATAAGTTGTAAGAGTTAATAAGAAAAGCCTGAGCTAATGGGCCAATCGGTTTAAAACTAAAAAAATAAATAAATAAAAATAAATAAATGTACCTTGATTCAAAGCCAGGGCAGGGGCATAAATAACAATTCCAGTATACAGAATCTAGTGAGGAGAGAAGGAAAACAATGAGTAATATGAAGTACATATGAGAATTATAAAATCAATTATGAATTGATCCTTTTCAACATATTTAATGTGTTATTATAACATGGATATACTTAAATAAAATTGATTTTTTTCTTTTCTGTCTACAGTGTGGCTAAATATCATAAAAAAATTTTCTGAAGACCTTTTGTTAAAGTGTGGTAATTAGTAAAAAAGATACATTTATTGATCCACCACCTAAAGCTTAAACTCAATTTTCATAGGTTTAAAATACTTAACTACAAAGAAAGAATAATAGGTTGGTCTCTTAATTATAGGCCTTCAAATACTGCTAATCACCATTTTCTTTTTCAATGCTGGGGATAGAATCCAGAGTCTTCTGCAAATGCGATAAGCCGTCAACAGAGGAGCCACAAACCAACCATTTAAATGCTTTCTTTCAAAGTAGAGTTTTTGAAAACTGCAGTTTTTAAACTAATTAAGACAGAAGTGTAAATTTGCACTAAAATTTATGAAACCTTTCAAACATTATAATCACATGACTCTATATAACAGAATCACTTGCCACTCATATATTAAACAAATATTTATTGGCCTTGTGTACAATAGTTAAGAAAAATTATCTGTTTCTCCAAATATCATTGCATTCTTCTACAGCAGCTAACTCCAAGCAACCTTACAAAAACATAGCATATGCTAATTGAATGCTTAATTATCCTACATGGAACCTATCCTTCAAAAAGGATGTGCTAACGCCCCCCACCCTTGTTTGGAAAAGTAGTGAATTAGCTTCTGTAGTAATTAGTCCATTCATGTTGAAGATCTGAAATGTGACAGGCTGTCTTCCTAACGACTGCCCCTTCTTGTGCATGTAGGAATTTTTAACACGAACATAGAGAGAGGGTCTAGACCAGTGGTTCTCAATCTTTCTAATACTGTGACCCTTTAATCTATCTCCTTGTGTTGTGATGACCCTAGTCATAAAATTCTTTTCGTTGCTACCTCAAAACTGTAGCTTTCCTAGTTATGAATCATAATGTACATATCTGATATGCAGGCTATCTGATATGCGACTCCCACCCACAGGTTGAGAATCATTGCTCTAGACAGTTAATACATACAAGCAAGTTGCCTTAGATACCAGACTCTCCACCAGATCCCATAACTACCTGCCTTCCACACTGCAAGCGCTAAGACCTCATGAAATGTACGAAGATAGAAAACAAAACCAAGATATAAGACGGGAAAGGGCACTCTGTCTCACAGCTCTCTGGAGCAAATGCTTAAGCAGCTTTTGACCCGAGAAACGCACATCGTTGACCTCCTTTACTAAATCCAAACCTAAATGCTCGGCTGCGGAAGGAGAGGGATGGAGACAAACATGGTAGTGACCATGAACACCCTCCAGGGCTTCCCACCGGAGCATCAGCGTGGTGACGCATATCCGTACTATTTGGCAAGCCATGGCTTCCCATTCTTGCTCATCAGTCATGTCTACATTTGCATATTCGTGATGACTAGATTGTGCATGTGTCTTAAACTCTCTTTTAAAGTTTGGGATTCTCCTTTAGACTCACTGGACTGCTCCAATTGGGTCTAAGAGCTCAAGGGTTTTTGTTTTGGTTTATTTTTTGTTTTGGTTTGTTTTGTTTTTGTTTTTGTTTGAGTTTTTGAGACAGGGTTTCTCTGTAGCTTTGAAGCCTATCCTGCAACTAGCTCTTGTAGACCAGGCTGGCCTCAAACTCACAGAGATTCGCCTGCCTCTGCTTCCCAAGTGCTGGGATTAAAGGTGTGCACCACTACCGCCCGGCAAGCTCAAGTTTTTAAAGAATGCTGATTTATTCATAAAGTACATTTTATACAACATTGTTCCCTAAAGTGTCCCTGTCAGATTGTGTGTGCGTGTGCGTGTGCGTGTGCGTGTGCGTGTGTGTGTGTGTGTGTGTGTGTGTGTGATTCAAGTAGCTGCAAAAGGACCGAGAAATTCAAATCTTGTTTTCCTGATATGAGAATCCCTCTGGTCAGCCAATGTAGCTCCCTCAAGTCTTTCTGTCCCTTAAATAAGGCGCTCACTGTCAGTCTGGGCCAGGTGGGGAGGGCTAGAAAGAATAATTTCCTAAAACTCCATATCCATTCCTTGACCAAGACAGTATTCGTTTTTCCAGGAAGTAATGTCTCAGCTGAAATACAGCTTAGGGATCTCCAGGTTCCGTTCTTTGTGATGCCAAGTGTGTTTGGGGTTTGCTTTTTTCTTTTTCATTCCCTCCTATTGTAATCACCCCCATTTTATCTTTCATGTATTTCTCAAGCAAAGCTCTCCCAGGGAGTGCCAAGGACAAAAATATTCTAGACGACAGAAGAGGAAGTAAATTAATGGTGAGGTACTCACCGTCTGGACGATGAAGAGGACGGTCCCGCAGAGACGGATGAACCGATTAAATCGAAGTTCCAAATACTGTAGCCAAAAAAATCGAAAAACAGGGGCGTGACTCTTCTAAACACATTTTATATTGGCCCAGGAAATAAAGGGCGAGATACTTAAAGGAACGTCGCACTGATTTGCATTCTCTGTTTTTGCTTCACTAAAATGGCTTTTACTTGCATGGTGCAAAACTGGTGCTTTAGGCTACAACTCAGTGACTTTTAATAGACATAAAGAGTTACACAATCCTCTCACACACCCAGTGCATGAAGACTCCCTCGTGATGCCCCTCTCAGTCATCATCAGTCTGCTCTTCACCCCCAGTTTGGCCAGGAAAAGTTGGAAAATGTAGCACAGAAATGGAATTACAGTCCAGTCTGGTGTTTTGTTTTGTTTTGTTTTTCTTTAAAGACCATGCAATCTATTGTTTCTTCCTTCCTCTTGGCATTTCCTTTGATTCGATGGGGAAATCAAACCTCTTTCTGTCTCTGGGTGGAAATCTGCACGAGCCGCCCTGCCTTTTCCTGGACAAGAGAAAATCACATGACCCCAGTACAGCCAATCACCTTCTCCTTCCAGTGGATGCTGTTTAACTGCGAAGGGATTGGGTTGGCACAGACTGATCCTGACCTTAAGGACCGAAAAAGCTGTTGGGGCTCTGTCATTTCCAGGAATTGTTTATTCCACCTCTCATGTTGTTCTGTGACCACGCTTCCTTCAAACTCCTTCCTCTGCCATCGTGGGCGTGCGTGCGTGCGAGCGTGCGTGCGTGCGTGCGAACTTAAATCACCTAGGTCAAGGTTTTTGTTGTTGCTTTGTCTTGTTTTGTTCTGTCTCTGAGACAAGGTCTTACTGTATAGACCAGGCTGGTCTTGTACTTTTGATCCCCTGCCACTTTTACCCACTTTCCTTGAAATCTACTATAGCTTATAATATGGTCTGTTTATTATAAATAGAATAATAATTATGGAGTTAGAATCAAAATTTTGGAGCTGAAGGTCAAGGTACTATTTAACTTAAGTCTTATTAGCGCAAATAGAAAGAAATCAAAGTCTACCAGCCTTGCTGTGTAAAAGGGGGGAAGACAGAGGAGCATGCGGAGGAGGAGAAATGGCCATTAGCTAATCAGCAAATGGAAAGACATATGGGTAGTATTGCTCCACAGTCACAACTGGCACTTACTTCCTGTGTACCTTGGGAAGCAGGAACCATGTTAGCGATGAGGACCGAGCTTGTGACCTAATCGCTGTCAGGGATGGGACACAGAAGCTCGGAAACTTTGATCCACAGAATCTGTGGCTGTAACCACATTGATAAATTAATAATCTGACCACAAATTTAAAATGCAGTCAGTATGTGGTGCATGGACAACAAGCCCTTCAAAGACAACTGGCGGGTGGCAAACGTCCAATCCAGGGCAAGGCATCTGCAGCAGAGTTTCAGCTCCAGACCAGTCCCATGCCTGACTTAGGAGATTGAGGCCATCACGTTCTCAAGCTCAGGTTCCTTGTGTTTAAACGGAGGGCCATACGCGAAATTATTTCTCTCTTTTGTTTCTCAAGGGAGTGTATCCAGTGATAGAAACAGATAAGGGGATGTAAACTGTCAAAGAGAAAGATGCAAAGATTAGTGGGATCAAAGAGCCATGAATCTTGTGAATTATATCAAAATCGTGGTAGGGTATTCTGGAAGACATTCTGGGGAGTGAAGTTTCTGGAAACTAGAAACAGACTGGTGTTATTTTTGAAGAATTTTTTTTAGTAAATCTGTAATGCGCGTGAGTGAGCATGAATAGTTAGAGAAACCTTTTGCCTTTTCTAGGTTCATGTGTGCAGTGGCTGGGGACCACACCAGGCTTAAGAGACTGTGTCAGAGAAAAATGGAGCGAGCTGAACCAAATAACTTGAAAGTTTTTACACTTAAAGTTGTCCCCCAAATCAGCTGACCAATATGTCTATGCTCACACAAAACCAACTGAAGACAGAACCGAGAAGCCATGATCCTTTACTAGATTTCAGAGGAAATACATAGGAACCTAACAAGAAACCCCGGTCCCATTGCAGTAGGCTTAGAGGACAGAGTTCACAAGCAAAACTACAGAATAATAGGTACCTACAGTGAACAGAGATCTTCCCTCATCCTTGGAACTCAGAATAACTTGGAGATATGAAAGCTTCAGTTGATGTACATAAATAAGTAAGAGTAGAGCCTGGGTGATCCCAAAGACACTATTAATTGATTGCACTGGATCCCTGCAATAGGCTTCCTGTCTATCTGTGGGTCTGGACATCGTTAAACACCTATCCGACCTATATTCTAACAGCAGCAATAGAGTAAAAATGCCTGTGGCCCACCAAGTTGGGCTACAGAAATGGAAACTTAGAGACAGTTCATATTTGAGCAAGAATATGAAGGTGGCCATTACTCATATGTTGGACAATGTATCTACACAGATGTCCTCAACAGAACAAAGCATTCCCCCCAAGAAATCCTCTGCCATGACTAGTTGAATTAACTGGTCCAGCAAGCTGCTCGACCTCCTTCTCTCTGACACCCGACACCATTAGCAGGACAGCAACACCCTGTGAAGTTCAAGGGTCCTTTATGACTTCTTCCTCGGTTCTCCCTGAGCTGGCATAAACCCTGCTCGGGGTCATACCCAACTCACCGGAGCCTCCAGAGGCAGCCGGTAAGTGGTTTGGCCTGGATCCTTATTCCTTCCTCTCCCTCACTGGCTTAACTTGCTCTGAGGCTTTCCATCTGAAAACCATGGCTTTGAGCATACCCTTGCAAGAATTTGGTTGAGCGTTGAGTCAGATAACATGTGTTAAACATGCAGCCTGGTGCCCGGCGTGAATTAAACATTCAGCAAACATTGGCTTTTTGCCCCTTGCAGCCAGAATCCTTGTTAACTTAGTTTCTGCCACTAGAAACAAAGGAGACGTCCCTTTCTGGTTGAGTTAATGTCACTGCACTGAAGAGGCATGGATCATGAGTTCTGAGAGCAGCATTCTTGTGGCAGGGCTGGAGTCCTCTTGTCGGGTTATTCAAACCCTTTTCTAGGCTTTGGAGTTGGTTAGCTACAGGTCAGAGCTCACAGACATCAGTGTTGGCAGAGGCCACCTAGTAACGCATGTGAGTGACAGAAGCCAGGCATTCACACGCAGCATAGCACACCCGGTAGCGCCCCTGAGTGACAGAAGCCAGGTGGTAACACTTGTGAAGATGCTGGAATACTCCTCACGGCCACTAAGAAACACGTTGTCATATGACCCATCACTGGTCATTTTCCATGTGCACTTTTTAAAGGCATGGATGTAGGTAAGGACTTCTCTGCCACGAGAAAAGTGGGGTGCAGACATGAAAAACCTCGGTGTAGGCATTAACAGAGCAAGAGCAGTGACTATTGCTGGAAGCCCAGTAGCCATAGGAAATGAGGGCTCAATGCCATCAGCCTTCTGAGTTTTCAAAAGACATTTGAAATTTTGTGTGTCTGTTCCTCGTCATTCGATTCTTAAATTAACATGTTTTTATTAAACAAAACATCCAGGGCTTCTTATAAATGTTTAGAAAAACAAAACAAAGTCTGAGTTTGGCCTGGGACTGCCAGTTTGTCACCACCCCTCACCAATAGAAATTCCCTTCTCTCCCACCTAGGGCGAAGGCTAGGTTTCCATAAACACGGTGGCCACAGTTAAGGCAATGCAGCCTGGGACATGCCAGGACCTGGATGACATCATTAGAACCCAGGCAGGGGCCCAGCACAAGATGAACCAGCCTCACTATGAAACCACCTTCGGAAGACCCTGCACTTCAGGGAAACAGGTCACAAACTCCAGGCCCGAGGGACCCCTGAGCTGAGACACCTAGCCCTCTGGTTGATGGTCTAGAGTCATAGGAGCGTGTCTGTGAAGCCTGCAGCAGGGGCCTGGGTGAAGAATGGCCCCTGAGGTGGCTGAGCTCTTTAGGGCACAGGCACACACACCTTCGACACCTCTTTAAGTAAAACCAAGCTAAATGTTCATCTTTGAAAAACCTTTTCCTGAGAGCAGCTTAAGAAAGACATCCAGAGGAATGCCACCACAGATGAAGGATGGGTCTCCTTCTCAACCTTTACGTAAAAAGGCAACCGCACCATTTAAGAACTTTGACGCCACGTTTTTTTCTAATCGTCGCAGGATAACCCCCGACTCTGTAATTGCATTCGGTCCCGGCCCAGCATCTACTCTGCGCTCTGTGCTAAGCCCTGTTCTAAATGGAACACCTTCCATCAGCTCACTTAGTTCTCCCCACGACCGGATGAGACTGGTGGTACCAATTTCTTCTTGAGATGAAGACATCAGTACAAAAGGTTAACTAAGGAACTGGCCCAAGGTCATTCGCAAGTAAACAGTGGAATTTGGTCTAGGGGAAAACTCTGGAACAAGACCTAGAACTTAAACACACTTGGGTGAACAACTTCTTTCTCCATCTTTCAGAGAACTAGCATTTCCAACACACACACACACACACACACACACACACACACACCGTTTTAAGAAAGACTTTAGCAAGTACTTGTCCGGTCCACTCAGTGCACTTTGGAACTGAGCTCAGGAAGCTCAGTCCCAAGGATTTATTTATCCTCCCCCCCTCCCCCCCCCCCCCGGCTTAAAAGACACATGTCTCATTGGAAGGGTAGGGGTGGGAGGGGATGACGAGGTCAGAGATGCACCCACAAGGAGCGATTCCCATATGGCAGAAACTGTTTGCTCCCAGAAAATTCCTTCTGGAGCCTGAACGTGCAAGCAGGCCTCCGCACCACCACCTCTTACCTCGTAGGTGCTGGTGATCCCCAGTCTATAGAACACCGGAAGGAAGACCTCCGCGCTGAGGAGCACCACCAAAAAGTAGGTGATGGCAAAGATGCTGAAAATTGCCCCAAAACGATAGACCTCGGCGGGAGTGCCCAGGACAGTGACAGCGGACATGAAGCTGGCAGTGAGGGACAGAGCCACCGGCACCGCGGTCATACTGCGGCCACCCGTCAGAAAGTCCTTGGAGGTCTGCTGGCCGCCCCCCGCGAAGGCATAGTAGATGCCGATGGCGGCCGAGATGAGCAGCATGCCTGCGAACACCACGTAGTCCCACACCACAAAGCTACCGATGTCCCGTGGCACGTCCATGGCCCCCAGCGGTGGAGTGCTCAGGGGTAGCCCGAGCCGCGCAGGTTGCTCGCTTTAGCAGCTTTAGCCTAGGGCCGCACTGGCTTCTTTCTCCCTGTTGCAGCGGGCGTGGCGTCTCCAAGAGGTCAGGTTCGTCCAACAGGTGTGGATCCTCGCGGAGGTGGGAGCCTAGCTTCGCGCTGCCAATCACCCGGCGAGGGGAGGGGGGAGCGAGGGTCCCCTGTCGCCAGCTGCGCCCCTGGCAGTCCGGGACCGGAGGACGATTTCCTCCACGCAGCGCGCTGAGTGCGAGACCAGGGTGACCCAACTGCGATCGCCTGGGCACCAAGCGACTCTGGGGCGGGTGAGAACGGGAGCCTCCAGCCGCGTCCAGCGAATCCACGGCTCGCACGCTCGGCGGAACTTTTATTGACAGCGGCGGCGCCGACGCACCATTTAAACGGGCAGGAGATGGGTGTGTGGTGTGTGTGTGTGTGTGTGTGTGAGGGGGGTGTAGATCGAAGGGCACTTGTTGTCACGCCTTTAGTTCACAGTTTGAGTTTGAGGCTCATCACCACTTGACAGATTAATGGGTGATGGGAGCGGAGCGACTCCGGGAACTGAGATCATAGTGGTTAGTCAGGTGAGCAATTAGAAAGGAGCCGAAGAAGGCTGTGCTGTGGGGACCCTGCGTTTTCACTGGACAACCTTTTCTTTTCTCTTCTTTTCTTTTCTTTTCTTTTCTTTTCTTTTCTTTTCTTTTCTTTT